TAACATTCTTGTTATGTCATGACTGTATCAGACTTGTTAGAACAACCTTGTAACATTCTTGTTATATCATGACTGTATCAGACTTGTTAGAACAACCTTGTAACATTCTTGCTATATCATGACTGTATCAGACTTGTTAGAACAACCTTGTAACATTCTTGTTATGTCACGACTGTATCAGACTTGTTAGAACAACCTTGTAACATTTTTGTTATATCACGACTGTATCAGACTTGCTAGAACAACCTTGTAACATTCTTGTTATATCATGACTGTATCAGACTTGTTAGAACAACCTTGTAACATTCTTGTTATATCATGACTGTATCAGACTTGTTAGAACAACCTTGTAACATTCTTGTTATATCATGACTGTATCAGACTTCTTGGAGCAGCCTTGCAACAAGTCTGATAATATCAACAAGGTTGTTACAAGTTGTTAACGAGTTGTTCCAAACTTGTTGACAACTTGGGACAAGCAGTGCGAACACAACTTGTTGGCAGACTTGCTACAAGATGTGAGATTTTTACGTGTGTAGTCTTAACAATTTCATCTAGGCAGGTCGTAACATCGGGCTCCGTGATTTGATTTCTTATCTTTTCAACTTAATTTACAGATTACTACCCAGCTGAAGAGACAGAGATTACAATTAATCACCAGCAAGCTGGCCAGTCCCAACAACTTGTCGTGAAAGGAGTTAAATTCATGTTTCAATCAAAACTCGACGTTGTCCATAAAATTCTCTCCACGGAATCAGACCCCTTGAATTTTTTGTGCTCCTCGTTCCAGATTGGCGATTTACAAAATGTCGATCTCATTTTGTCCGGGAATTTCGAAAAGAAAGTCCCAGAGGGGGTCGATTTGTTAAAAAGTTCCAAAAGCGTTTTGGTTCATGAGCAAGGTATAGTCTTTTTAAGGTTATAAATGGCAGTGGTTACTGAACTGATAGAGCTATCCAGCAATTATCCAGCATAAATAAAGTTAGTTTAGTTTAGGTTTCCTCCTGTAGTAACACTGGATCACTAAAAGATGATCCTTACTTGACCTCTGGGAAGAACAGTTTAGAACTGATAGAGCTATCCAGCATAAATAAAGTTAGTTTAGTTTATGTTTCCTCCTGTAATAACACTGGATCAATAAACGATGATCCTTACTGGACCTCTAGGAAGAACAGTTTAGAACTGATAGAGCTATCCAGTATCAATAAAGTTAGTTTAGTTTAGATTTCCTCTTGTAGTAACACTGGATCAATAAGAGATGACTCTTACTGGACCTCTAGGAAGAACAGTTTGGAACTGATAGAGCTATCCAGTATAAATAAAGTTAGTTTTGTTTAGGTTTTGTTCTACAGTATAGTAACACTGGATTAATAAAATATCTTAAAGAGAACAGCTGTTTAGAACTAATTGAGCTCAAGTTTAACGTTGTTCACTGTACAAAATGTTTGTTTTACAGTTCTTCCAAAAGAAACGCCAACGTTGCTACATTTTGCCGCATTTTATAATTTGAAGAAACTCGCAAAAGCTTTGCTTCGCTGCCCTGGGGCCAAGGAAGCCATGTCGATCAAAAATTGCCATGGTAACGGGCCTGTCGGCGTGGCTCAACTGAAGAAGCATAGCGAAATGGAACAGTTGCTCCAAGACCATCAGGTCAGTGTGATTTAATGTGATGGTGTGGTATGGTATGGTTTGGTGTGATGTGGTATGGTATGGTATGGTATACTATGGTATGGTATGGTATGGTGTGGTATACTATGGTATGGTATACTATGGTATGGTATGGTATGGTATGGTATGGTATGGTATGGTATACTATGGTATGGTATGGTATGGTATGGTATGGTATGGTATGGTATGGTATGGTATACTATGGTATTATATACTATGGTATGGTATGGTATGGTATGTTGTAAGTGACTTGTGAAACGTCTTGATGAGAACATTCGTATTCTTCAACAATTTAAAATAAATGAATGATATTTGGTGAGAAAATTGAACTTAAAGTATGTTAATCAGCATTTGTATGTTAATCAGCATGATTCTGTATCACATATACAAACTCCTCCACACTCGTGATTTCTTTTGTTTGTACATGAATTATTAATGAATTTCAAAAGGTATAATGTGGTATGGTATGGTATGGTATGGTATGGTATGGTATGGTATGCTATGCTATGCTATGGTGTGATATGGCATGGTACGGTGTGGTGTGGTATGGTATGGTATGGTATGGTATGGTATAGTATACAAATAATGAATGTTTATGAGTGCAATGGTAAGAATATTTTCATGAGATGAAAGATGGAATGTTCCATCTTTCACCGAATGAAAATATTCTTACCATTGCACGAATAAAAACATTCATTATTTGTTTTATATAATAGCAAAATAGACTAATATTAAAAGGTTTACTGTAAGCTCCCGCCATTTTGACGAGTCGTATTTGCATTAAATCCCATTTACTGAGTTTCGAATATCGGGTTAAAATAAACTGCGATTCGGGCGGAGTGTTCTCACACAATTTCGAGTTTTGCCAATTTCCACGAGTGTCGATATAACTGTATATCAATACGGAAAAAATGTTTTATATTTGTTAAATGTAATATGGTATATTGATATGGTATGGTGTGTTGTATGGTGTAATATAGTATGGTGTTGTATGGTATGGTATGGTATGGTATGGTATGGTATGGTATGGTATGGTATGGTATGGTATGGTATGGCAAAGACAAAGTATGGTGTGGTATGACATGATGCGACAAATTTATTTTAACAGGTTACGTTGGCCAAATGTTCACCCACTGTTTTAGCGTTCTTGTTTATATTCCTCACAGGCTAGTGGAAATAACGACAAATTGGCAGATGAGGACGAATATATGAGCATGGAGCGATGCTACGAAAGCTACGTTGAGATGGGTGGTACAAGTCCTCAGTATGTTGTACCCGATTACAGGAAACGTTCTGAAAGTGCAGTGGACGACGGAGAACAGCTCTATGAGGATATGGGAGGCAAATCTGAGCGTAAGTCATTATTTTGCATGTGTTTGTTTCATTGCGAGGTTTCGGTGATTGTTTCGTTGATGCAATGAAAATTATGGAAACTTTTTATAAACTCTCGCTTCTCAACTCTCATTCAACTCTTGCTCTCGTTTGATCAAGCAATGGAAGTTCAGAAAACTGTCATGTAAACTCTCGCTTGTCAACTCTCATGCAATGTTGAGAAAACTTTCATGTAAACTCTCGCTTCTCAACTCTTATGCAATTCTTGTTCTCGTTTGATCAAGCAATGAAAGTTGAGAAAACTCTCATGTAGACTCTCGCTTGTCAACTCTCATGCAACTCTTGTTCTCGTTTGACCAAGCAATGAAAGTTGAGAAAACCCTCATGTAAACTCTCGCTTCTCAACTCTCATGAAACTCTTGTTCTCGTTTGATCAAGCAATGAAAGTTGAGAAAACTCTCATGCATGTAAACTGTCGCTTCTCAACTCGCATGAAACTCTTGTTCTCGTTTGATCGAGCAATGAAAGTTGAGAAAACTCTCATGGAAACTCTCGCTTGTCAACTCTCATGCAACTCTTGTTCTCGTTTGATCAAGCAATGAACGTTGAGAAAACTCTCATGTAGGTTCTCGCTTCTCAACTCTCATGCAACTATTGTTCTCGTTTGATCAAACAATGAAAGTTGAGAAAACTCTCATCTAAACTCTCGCTTCTTAACTATCATGCAACTCTTGTTCTCGTTTGATCAAGCAATGAACGTTGAGAAAACTCTCATGTAAACTCTCGCTTCTCAACTCTCATGCAACTCTTGTTCTCGTTTGAGCAAGCAATGAATGTTGAAAAAACTCTCATGTAAACTCTCGCTTGTCAACTCTCATGCAACTCTTGTTCTCGTTTGATCAAGCAATGAACGTTGAGAAAACTCTCATGTAGGTTCTCGCTTCTCAACTCTCATGCAACTATTGTTCTCGTTTGATCAAACAATGAAAGTTGAGAAAACTCTCATCTAAACTCTCGCTTCTTAACTATCATGCAACTCTTGTTCTCGTTTGATCAAGCAATGAACGTTGAGAAAACTCTCATGTAAACTCTCGCTTCTCAACTCTCATGCAACTCTTGTTCTCGTTTGAGCAAGCAATGAATGTTGAAAAAACTCTCATGTAAACTCTCGCTTGTCAACTCTCATGCAACTCTTGTTCTCGTTTGATCAAGCAATGAACGTTGAGAAAACTCTCATGTAGGTTCTCGCTTCTCAACTCTCATGCAACTATTGTTCTCGTTTGATCAAACAATGAAAGTTGAGAAAACTCTCATCTAAACTCTCGCTTCTTAACTATCATGCAACTCTTGTTCTCGTTTGATCAAGCAATGAACGTTGAGAAAACTCTCATGTAAACTCTCGCTTCTCAACTCTCATGCAACTCTTGTTCTCGTTTGAGCAAGCAATGAATGTTGAAAAAACTCTCATGTAAACTCTCGCTTGTCAACTCTCATGCAACTCTTGTTCTCGTTTGATCAAGCAATGAACGTTGAGAAAACTCTCATGTAGGTTCTCGCTTCTCAACTCTCATGCAACTATTGTTCTCGTTTGATCAAGCAATGAAAGTTGAGAAAACTCTCATCTAAACTCTCGCTTCTCAACTATCATGCAACTCTTGTTCTCGTTTGATCAAGCAATGAACGTTGCGAAAACTCTCATGTAGGCTCTCGCTTCTCAACTATCATGTAAATAAATTACTTTCTATTCTAACACTATAGCTGAAGAGCTGTATGATACGCCTCGCTCGGAAACTGAAGATCGTTTTGAAGGGTACGACGAGGAATTAGACCAAAACGAGAACACATTGCAACAACGGGAATCGGCCATGCAAAAGCAGATTGATGAATATAAAGTGTTTGGAAGAATGACTGAGAAGGAGGTTCAATTGGCTTTGCTCATGAAGCGTGTCAAGGAAAGATATATCACCCAAGAGCAAGCCCTGGAGATGGCTCGAGTTCTCCGTCTTGATGTACGAGCATTTAAATATAGCTAAGTCTAAACTAAACTAACTTTGTTTGTACTGGATAGCTCTATCAGTTCTAAACTGTTCTTCCTAGAGGTCCACCAGTAAGGTGATCTCTATTGATCCAGTGTTACTACAGGAGGAAACCTAAACTAAACTAACTTTATTTATACTGGATAGCTCTATCAATTCTAAACTGTTCTTCCTAGAGGTCCAGTAAGGTGATCTCTTATTGATTCAGTGTTACTACAGGAGGAAACCTAAACTAAACTAACTTTATTTATACTGGATAGCTCTATCAATTCTAAACTGTTCTTCCTAGAGGTCCAGTAAGGTGATCTCTTATTGATTCAGTGTTACTACAGGAGGAAACCTAAACTAAACTAACTTTATTTATACTGGATAGCTCTATCAGTTCTAAACTGTTCTTCCTAGAGGTCCAGTAAGAATTATCTCTTATTGATCTAGTGTTACTACAGGAGGAATTACCTAAACTAAACTAACATTATTTATACTGGATAGCTCTATCAGTTCTAAACTGTTCTTCCTAGAGGTCCAGTAAGGATAATCTCTTATTGATCCAGTGTTACTACAGGAGGAAACCTCAACTAAACTAACATTATTTATACTGGATAGCTCTATCAGTTCTAAACTGTTCTTCCTAGAGGTCCAGTAAGAATTATCTCTTATTGATCTAGTGTTACTACAGGAGGAATTACCTAAACTAAACTAACATTATTTATACTGGATAGCTCTATCAGTTCTAAACTGTTCTTCCTAGAGGTCCAGTAAGGATCATCTCTTTTTGAACCAGTGTTACTACAGGAGGAAACCTGAACTAAACTAACTTTATTTGTACTGGATAGCTCTATCAGTTCTAAACTGTTCTTCCTAGAGGTCCAGTAAGGATAATCTCTTATTGATCCAGTGTTACTACAGGAGGAATTACCTAAACTAAACTAACTTTATTTATACTGGATAGCTCTATCAGTTCTAAACTGTTCTTCCTAGAGGTCCAGTAAGAATTATCTCTTATTGATCCAGTGTTACTACAGGAGGAATTACCTAAACTAAACTAACTTTATTTATACTGGATACCTCTATCAGTTTTAAACTGTTCTTCCTAGAGGTCCAGTAAGGATAATCTCTTATTGATTCAGTGTTACTACAGGAGGAAACCTGAACTAAACTAACTTTATTTGTACTGGATATCCCTAATACTGTAGTTCTAAACTGTTCTTCCTAGAGGTTTATATTACCAGGGCTTCATTATTTGTCTTCTTCGCTTAGCCTCAAGTACCGTCCACGGACTCAAAAAAGAAAAAACCCAGAGTAAAGAAAAGAGTCTCTGGTGAGTTGCCCTCGGAGGAGGGGGAACGAGGGGAGGGCACTGAACTATAAATAAACTGGAAGGCTAACTCAGGGGGGAAATTGAAGCCTGTGTATTTTAGTTTTTCTGAGTTATGAGCAGAAATACTCAACACTTAACGTTGGGCAATATATCAAATTGAAGCTATTGAAAAACGCTATTTGGTGTAGAAATTTCAAGACTTTAGCTAAAAGGGAAATATTGAAAAACTACAAACATAATTACCGATAATTTGCCGTTTTGCAGTTGTTTTTGTATTTTTTAAATATTTCTCTTTTGGCTGAAGTCTTGAAATTTCCACACCGGATAGCAATTTTCAATAGCTTCAATTTGATATATTGCCCGACGTTTGGGGTCAAGTATTTCTGCTCATAACTCAGAAAAACTATTTTGGCTTCATCAAATCATAGGCCTTCATCATAGCAGTTAGCCTTCCAGTTTATTTATAGTTCAATGGGGGAGGGTACTTACATTCCTTAGACAGGGATTTAGTCTGCAACCCCCTCAAACGTGCTTGGCCAACGCCCGGTGAGTTGCCGAGCGAGAACTTTTTCGTGAAGAATGCCTCACATACTGTAAACGTTCATGTCTTGCAAACAAAGTCAGAACATTGAAAACTGCCAAAGCGTCATTCTAAACTACACACGTAAAAACGCCCAAGTTGTTAGAGGTCTGCAAACAAGTTGTTACAAATCTGTTCACAAGCTGTCGACAAGTTGTGTTCGCACTGCTTGTTCCCAGTTGTCGTAACAAGTTTTGCACAAGCTGTTAACAACTTGTAACAAGCTTGATGCATTATCAGACTTGTTACAAGGTTGTTCTAACAAGTCTGATACAGTCATGATATAACAAGAATGTTACAAGGTTGTTCTAACAAGTCTGATACAGTCATGATATAACAAGAATGTTACAAGGTTGTTCTAACAAGTCTGATACAGTCATGATATAACAAGAATGTTACAAGGTTGTTCTAACAAGTCTGATACAGTTATGATATAACAAGAATGTTGCAAGGTTGTTCTAACAAGTCTGATACAGTCATGATATAACAAGAATGTTACAAGGTTGTTCTAACAAGTCTGATACAGTCATGATATAACAAGAATGTTACAAGGTTGTTCTGACAAGTCTGATACAGTCATGATATAACAAGAATGTTACAAGGTTGTTCTAACAAGTCTGATGCAGTCATGATATAACAAGAATGTTACAAGGTTGTTCTAACAAGACTGATACACTCATGATATAACAAGAATGTTACAAGGTTGTTCTAACAAGTCTGATACAGTCATGATATAACAAGAATGTTACAAGGTTGTTCTAACAAGTCTGATACAGTCATGATATAACAAGAATGTTACAAGGTTGACGACACAAGGTTGTAACAATATTGTTATACCTTGACTGTATCGGACATGTTCGAACAACCTTGCAACAAGCCTGATAATATCAACAAGGTTGTTACAAGTTGTTAACAGCTTGTTCCAAACTTGTTGACAACTTGGGACAAGCAGTGCGAACACAACTTGTTCACGGCTTGTTGGCAGACTTGCTACAAGATGTGAGATTTTTCCGTGTGTAGAGGACGAAATTAATTAATCTCCGAAATTGAGTTTTCCGTGTTTAATGATGAACTGATGATTTTGAAAGCTCTTGAAATTCAGCGTACAGTGCCTGACTATTTGATTATTTTTTATTTAGTTCCGAATATAAGTGACCTGCCGGAAAGGAAGGTTAGCCTTATACTTGTTTTATTGCTTCTCTTTGGTGTACCATCTAGAATCTCTTCATTTTAGCATTATTTTACAGATAAAGCACTAAACATACTTTTTAAGTTTGTTTGCCGCTTGGGAAACGTTTCAAAAATTTTAAAACATTGAGTATAGTCATAACCAATGGACCATTTGCATTATAGACTAAATTTTGATCTAGACAAAAATTTCATCACAGCTTGAAAGGGCAACGCTACGCAAAATTAGTAATATTCCCAAGTTTCGTTGCGAAATGTTGTAAAATGCGGATAATATAGCCTTGCGAAGTTTGCCGTTTTTCAGTCATTTTGTACACGGGAAATTGACAGCCCAATCGGGTGTTGGGACATCAATTTCCCGTTTGTAATACAAAATAACTGAAAATTGCGAACTTCGCAAGGCTATATTATCCGCATTTTACAACATTTCGCAACGAAACTTCGGAATATTACTAATTTTGTGATGCTCTTTCAAGCTGTGATGAAATTTTTGTCTAGATCAAAATTTAGTCTATAATGCAAATGGTCCATTGAAAAAGTATATTCATTATAGTTTTGAGCGCGTGTTACATAACCTACAAAAGATTTCCCTCTTAATGGCACCTTGACCAAGTATTTATTTTTTGTCGTAATTTAGACGCAGTCGTTGCCGAGAACTATGTCAACCAGCTCTGGTTCAAGTAAGTCTGAATTCAGTTTTTCTGGAAATTTCATCTCTGAGAATGGTTTTGTAATAGAATTGGAACAACCCTACATGGCCCAATCCCTATATTAGCCGGGTTCCGAAGTTGATGAGTGGACTGGGGGACGAGTGTTAAAAAGTGCCCAAATTAAGAAATGAACCAAATCACTAAAAAGACCACCTCAAAATTGGTAAGTATACAAAGTTTGAAGACGTTTACACGAATACCCTTCGAATAATAAGCTTTCGAAAATCGTGAAATTACTGATTAAAATTAGACTGTTTTTGGGACGCGCGTCCCCCAAAACAAAAATTAGAGTACATTTTATAGTAAATATCGCGATTTTCGAAAGCTTATTATTCGAAGGGTATTCATGTAAACGTCTTCAAAAACTTTGTATACTTACTAACTTTGAGGTGATCTTTTTAGTGATTTGGTTCATTGCTTAATTTGGGCACTTTTTAACACTCGTTACCAGTCCGCTCATCAACTTCGGAGTGGCTGATTGTGTACGAAACATCGGGCTATGACCATTCTATCCTACACAGTTGCAATTTTAACTTGCTTAATGTTTTGTTACTTAGGCGTTAGTAGTACTAGCAGTGTCGGAAGTACGGGATCTGGTTACGCGGTTAGTATATCACCATGAAATATTTTTTCCCAAAATTTTAATATTCATGAATATAGCGCCATGGTACACTCGTAAATATCTCACATCTTGTAGCAAGTCTGCCAACAAGCCGTCAACAAGTTGTGTTCGCACTGCTTGTCCCAAGTTGTCAACAAGTTTGGAACAAGCTGTTAACAACTTGTAACAACCTTGATGGCATTATCAGACTTGTTACAAGGTTGTTCCAACAAGATCGCTACAGTCATGGTATGACAATATTGTTACAACTTTGTGTCGTCAAACTTGTAACATTCTTGTTATATCATGATTGTATCAGACTTGTCGGAACAATTAACCTTGTAACAAGTCTGATAGTGCCATCAAGCTTGTTACGAGTTATTAACCTTGTTGACATTATATTGCGATACATATTGATAATCCGATACAGTCATACAACAATATTGTTGCAACCTTGTCTCGTCAACCTTGTAACATTCTTGTTATATCATGACTGTATCAGACTTGTTAGAACAACCTTGTAACATTCTTGTTATATCATGACTGTATCAGACTTGTTAGAACAACCTTGTAACATTCTTGTTATATCATGACTGTATCAGACTTGTTAGAACAACCTTGTAACATTCTTGTTATATCATGACTGTATCAGACTTGTTAGAACAACCTTGTAACATTCTTGTTATATCATGACTGTATCAGACTTGTTAGAACAACCTTGTAACATTCTTGTTATATCATGACTGTATCAGACTTGTTAGAACAACCTTGTAACATTCTTGTTATATCATGACTGTATCAGACTTGTTAGAACATCCTTGTAACATTCTTGTTATATCATGACTGTATCAGACTTGTTAGAACAACCTTGTAACAAGTCTGATCATGGCCTTAAAGTTTGTCGTAAGTTGTTAACAGCTTGTTCTAAACTTGTTACAACAACTGGGAACAAGCAGTGCGAACACAACTTGTCGACAGCTTGTAAACAGATTTGTAACAACTTGTTTGCAGACCTGGAACAACTTGTGCGTTTTTACGTGTGTAATAAACAAGGTTGACGAGTCCAATAAACTTGCAACAAGTTGTTCCAACAAGTTGTTCCAACAAGTCTGATATCGTCTGCACGTAACAAGTTGATGACAATAATCTTGTTGCAATTTGTTACGAACAGCCTGTATTAGTCTTGTTGGAACAACTTGTAGCAAGTCTGTTACCGTCATCAAGCTTGTAACAAGGTGATAACAACTTGTTCCAGACTTGTGACAACAACTGGGAACAAGCAGTGCGAACACATCCTGATATCGGCTTCACAACAACCTTGTTGCAACTTGTTTGCAGATCTGAAACAACTTTCGCGTTTTCACGTGTAGGTTGTCTGTTATATTTAACAAATATAAAACATTTTCCGTGTTGATATACAGTTATATCAACACGAGTGGAAATTGGGAAAACGAGAAATTGCGTGGAAACACGACGCCCGAAGGGCGGAGTGTTTTCACACAATTTCGAGTTTTCCCAACTTCCACGAGTGTTGATATAACTATATATCAATACGGAAAAAATGTTTTATATTTGTTTTATAATATAGCAATGTCAAAAGCCCGAAGAATAAGAACAATTTCCGTGTTACAAGCGGCAGAAAATTTCCCGTGTTGACATGGAGTTATATCAACACGGCTCTTAGCCAATCAGCGTTCACAATTTACAAATGCTATATTATAAATTCTCATTGCTCGCTTTTTCATACAATATCTTTAACTGAAGTAATAGCATAGCCACCTCGAAATCCTTTGTCTCACGAGATGCGACTAATGACTAATTTAGCTTGTTGCTAAAACATGAGGGACGATTAGAAACTAATCATCCAACGGGACGTTTAGTTACTAATCGTCGTCCCTCATCTTTATACTGTACATAACCTCAATTAAATATTTAACAGACATGAAAAATCAACCGTAACTTAATTAACAAACATCCCAATAGTCATTAGTAGAGACCTTACGATTTTAGGACAGCAACGCGACGGCAACGGCTACCAATACAATAGATCACTGAAAATAATTGAATAATTACAATATATGAATAATTTAGACATTGTTCTCACTCTGTTTACAACGCCAAACAACATATTTTCGCGTCTTGATACAACGGCTGCATTCCAAGCCGCAACAAGTGTAACTTCAAACTGGGTTTAGCAGAACTCTTCCCAACCATAAAACCCATCTCTTCAACTTCTAAAACTGTATTAAATTCATACGATTGATAATATACCACGAACTATCGTTACTACCATTTATTTGAAGGAGTTTGTTTTGGCCGTCGTCGTCGCGTTGCCGTCCTAAAATCGTAAGGTCTCTAGTGTCAAAAAACAAACGCGCCTTTTCATTTCAACTTATTCAATCGAATGAAACCGTTTTATTGTCTCGGTAGCTATGATATTACAAAGTGATAGCATGGCATTACGGTCGATCAGTGAAGAAATGCCCCTCAAGCCTTTAGTAAAAAACTTCAGTAAAAGTTTTACTAAACTTCTCTCGGCTTTCTGCCATGCTATTACTTATAAGAATATTAAGAATAATTATCAGCCCCGACGAACATTCTCGGATTTCTAATATAATTTGTCTTTGTCTTCTTTTCGTAGAGTGATGGTATTAACAGCCGACCACCGGCCCTAGCTAAGCCTAAGGTATAAAATTTTTAACTTTATTTCTCAACCGGCAAATAGAAAATGTTTCATTTCCCTGGAATAAAAAATAAGACGTTGTTGGCAATTTTTAAAACTTTAATTTTTTATTTCATTACATAGAAACCCGCTGGTGGATTCAGTTATCTTGGTCAACCTCAGGTGTCACCAAAGAAAACAGGTAAAATATGACAGAGTAATCTATGATAGGACAATTATAATATTTTTTGTACAATAGGAGATGATCCTTACTGGACCTCTAGGAAGAACAGTTTAGAACTGATAGAGCTATCCAGTATAAATAAAGTTAGTTTAGTTTAGGTTTCCTCCTGTAGTAATATGCAATTACTTTATGGTTTCCGTGTTTGGATGGCCTGATCCAAACACGCGGGAATGTTGCGAGGGTTAAGAAAAGCGAGCGAAAACACGAGCCGAAGGCGAGTGATTTTGCCCGCTTTTCTTAACTCGAGCAACATTCCCAAGTGTTTGGATCAGGCCATCCAAACACGGAAACCATAAAGTAATAGTTTTATAAAATAACAACAACACGATAGTCTTCCGTGTTTGGATGGCCTGCTCCAAACACGGGTTTCGACCAATCAGAATACGCGTTATATACATGTTATTTTATAACACTGGATCAATAAGAGATGATCCTTACTGGACCTCTAGGAAGAACAGTTTAAAACTGATAGAACTATCCAGTATAAATAAAGTTAGTTTAGTTTAGGTTTCCTCCTGTAGTAACACTAGATCAATAAGAGATGATCCTTACTGGACCTCTAGGAAGAACAGCTTACAACTGATAGAGCTATCCAGTGTAAATAAAGTTAGTTTAGTTTAGTTTTGCTCCTGTAGTAACACTGGATCAATAAGAGATGATTCTTACTGGCATGGACCTCTCTAGGAAGAACATGCAGTTTAGAACCGATAGATTTATCAAGTATAAATAAAGTTAGTTTAGTTTAGGTTTCCTCCTGTAGTAACACTGGATCAATAAGAGATGGTCCTTTATACTGGACCTCTATAGGGAGAACAATTTAGAACTGACAGAGCTATGCAGTATAAATAAAGTTCGTTTAGTTTAGGTTTCCTTATTTTGATTAACATTTCTTTTTATTGATCATTTAGTTGCTCCACCTCCAACCGCGCAACGAAAACCGCCAACCCGGACTCCGTCTGATCCGGCTCCCCCCGTCCCGTCCCGCCGAGGACCAAGGCGGTAACCCTGGATCTACAGTGAAGATGTCCGCGATTAATGATTGTGGGATGCAGCTGGTCTACATCCCTATTTCGAACGACTTTTTGCGTCGTCTGCTTTCGTTTCACCTAACAAGAAAGCTCTGCTTCGCGAGTAAGGCCCGACAATTGAACGAGTTGTTTGTATGAGTCGTGATATCAAAATTAAGACGCTGTTTATGTTGCCCGATTTGCAACACAGCCCAGAAAGCGTGAAATTGGGGAGCGGTCATTATTTATGTCGGGGGAGGGGGGGGGGGGGGGGGGGGGG